GGAATGGCGTCATTCAGCCAGGTTTCCGTGAAACACAGAGCAGCAGAGTGTGAAAAATCCTTATTTGTCCGGGAGAGCAGAAGAAGTTCGTCCGTTTTGTTGGGTAGAGAGCGGAGATTCACCAGATGGATGCTAGGCAGCGCCGTTCTGAATCCGCACTTCCTGAGCTTCACGAGCACACCGGCTCTCTTCCCCCGTCTGCGCGTCCTGAAGCGCTTGATCAGCGCAGCTGCTCCGCCAAGTACAACGTTCAGCAAAACGTCCGACTAAACGAAATCAAACAGTACAAACACTGGAAAGCCAAACACTGAGGCTGCCGTCTGCGGCGCCATAGCATCGGTAATCCTGATGTGTGCTCCCGGCGCCTATTTATACTATAGTCGCACCGGTAGTGACGTCATGGCTGTCGCCGGCCAACGAGTTGGTGTTTTTTCAATGTATGCTTCAGACACGGGTAACGACGAGGCGTTCCCCATAGCGACCCCTAGAGGACGCAGTGTCTCGTTCCCTACTCAGGGAATCATGGTTACATAAGTAACCTGAGACGTTTGTTTCTGTTGTGAACACAATCATACTACATCACGGAAGTGAACTGCTATTGATGACATATGAATTGGTCAAACTGTGTATTTCTGTGTTTTCTCACACACTTTCCTGACAAGCGTGATTGACGCACTGCAAGCAGAGATAATTTATATCTCATTTTGGCTTACCTTCAACAGAAACTGACTACCACGCTCATGTGACCCTTTGCATTACATCTGTGACAAATAGATGCATGTTCTGTGTTGGCCATTTGGAAACAAAAACATTTTTTTATAATACAAAGTTTAAAAGTGAGACAGGCAAGCAACGGCATCCATTTTGTCGTCTTCTCCTGCATAGTCGTTACCTAGCAACAGGGGTAAACTGCTGCTTCTCTGGTGACATAAACTTATCGTAGTTCGGAACCAAAAAACTGAACTCTGCTTCAGACCAGGCAATTGAACCAAGTGTGAAAACATGCAGGGTCCCTGTGGTTCCTTAAAAAGTCCTAAATTTAAAAATGTATTAAATTTAAGTCCCAAATTTAAAGTCATAAAAAGTCTGAAATATCTTAAATGGTATAAGAACATTCGGCATTATCATTTCAAGAGGTCTTACATTTGGGGACAGAAAAACAGGAATTATGATATGGCTTCATGTGATTATCATTAATCAAAAGATGATGATTGGATTACTTCAGCATTGCATTTTAAAGTAAAAACACAGCAGTCTTTCATGTTCTGCAGACTCACAAATTCAAAGTACTTTGCAGTCAATGAAAAGTCTACATTTTTGCCAAGCAATTGCTTGTGATCTGTTGATAAATTTAGACAATTACTTAATGGTGTTAATACCTGCAAATTCATCACCTTTCGGTAAAATTCTGTCATTGTTATGACACTGGCCATTCACATGATTCATGGAAATCCAAAGAGTTTGTTTTTTATGTTGTTTTTATGAATGTATCTCTGAGGGGAACTGACTTTGATGGCATTACAGGGGTAATCAGGGAAAAGCTCTATTTCTGCTATTCCATAAGTGCCATCTTTTGTAAGAAAGTGAATTTGCAGTTCCATTAAGCCTGTCTGCTGTTTTGTTTACACTAATGCAGGGGCGGTTCTAGGGTGGGGCCAGGAGGTTTACTAATTTACTAACTAATTTCTGTCTTGCTTGCTCATTTTTGCTTCTGTAGTGCTTAGCCCCTTAATTGCTGCTTGCAGTTATATTTGTGAGTTAAGATCAGACCACATTTTTTGAGTAATCAATGCAAAAATCCAGTTATTTTCAAAATTACATCTAGTAAAATCTTAATTTAAAAACTACAAAAACAAATTATTTGTGTTACAAAAACATTTGTGATGGTTATCACTGGCCACGTATATACA